AACAGACCCTAGTTTGCAAATAAAAATCTACCATGTTCACAAAAAATGTAGGTACCTTTCCACCGACTCCACGCAATTTATGCCCTATCACATAGGAAGAGACGAATATTGCTTGGGTAGAAGCTGAGTGATTGAGAGCTGAAAAACTCAGCTAAAATTTTTTCAGAAATCTCTTAAAAGGTTTACTTACGCAGTTTTTTCAAAGAGGCGTCTCTGCGAAACCGCTCTACAACTTCTTGGCGATTTTTTAAACTTAGCAACTTTATAATATCTATCTCAGCCGGATCATACGAGAAATCCATTTCATTCAATGTGCTTCCAACTAGTATGGTACGCAGTGGGGGGTCACTAAGAAACTCCTGTAGATCTTTTGCATCAAAAAGTGGTGCAGTCATCAAGAGCAACTCAGGTTTGAGGCGCTCATTCTCGTCCTCCATCTCTCTTTGTACCCTCAAAGAAAAAGTGGACCTGATCAGTCAACTTACTTCTTTAATATGCATACCTCAGTAATTCTATGCTGCTAATGTTCCTAAGGCACGTCACTACGCCGTTAACAAATGCAGAAGTAAGATTCCTTGCTCCTCTCGCTGGCGAACACTGCAGATATAATTAATCGTTGACTGTTATAGCAGAGTTCCACATATTTGAAGATAAAATACAAACCTTTTGAATTTTTACAAGGTTTAAAGAATTTAAATGCGCATTGAGTGTAATTGCACGTTTTGTAGATCTATATTGAAACGCGCTCTGAAATACGATTTCAATCGCACTATACTCTTATCCTTGATATATATGGAATTTTTATAATATCAGTTGCTGCATATTAAAAAAGCAAGACTCAGCGGATTGTGAAGAACTCATTCGGCGAGAACCCCTAGACGTGGAGATGTTGGTCTTTTCTGTCCTCGTATTATTTAATATGTTTTTTAATACATTCAAGGTCTATTGTATATTATTATTGTACAAAATATTATTGAAAAAGTTGGATTTTCAACTCGTTGCAACTATTTAATTGTTCACTATTTCTCCAATTACATGTGATCAACCCGTAACATATGACGGCTGCCTTGCAAAAATTGTCAATTTTTCAAAATTAAAATCAAAATCTCTGGAGACTCTGCGATTTGAAGTAATTTGGGCTAACATCTGCTAATGGAGATAATCTGGCCTATAACTTTATAATCACGTAAATTGCTGACAGAATTATTTTCCTTAAAAGAAGCAAAGATTAAGGAAAAACTGCGGTTGAGTTTTATTCTCACCTTCAAACGGTAAGCCAGTTCCATGGTTACATCTTCTAAGTGAGTTAAATTTGCGAATGCATAATGCATAGACATCATCACAGCCTTCTGAAATAACCTGAAAATTGATTTTTCTCAGTTTAGCAATGCGGAAAGAAATTATGAAACGAGGGAAGTTTACACATTATTTGGTGATAAACAAACAATTAAGGACATACTTTCCTTCAGGATCAATCTGCTTTGAAAAAGCAAATTGTGCAGACGCAGTAGCGCCTTCAGAATGACCAAACAAAGTGACATCGTTCGGATTTCCACCAAAATGTTTGATTTCATCCTTTACAAAATGTAAAGCCGCAAGAAGATCTGAAATTCGTACATTTTACCGAACAATTTCCAAAAGATTTATTTAAATTACCATATGCAGCGATGTTTCTAGGAACGATTTTATCGGAATTAAAAGTTAAAAGACCAAGAAAACCAAGACGAAACCCAGGAATAACTAGGACGATATCTGAAGACAAAAAGGAAGAAGATTTACATGGCAGAAAGTAGTTCAAATCACCGACCATTCCCGGCGAAATTATTGACAAGTGCCTCGTCCTTGAACATAACAGCAGAGTCATAATTAAAATCACCTCCATGGATGTAAAACACCACAGAGCAGGGTTTAATCTTAAAAAAGTAAGAAACCGTGTTGTAATACTTTTAGAATAGAATATTTTTCGAAATCTGCATTTTCCTGCTATAGAATAAAGATTTAAATCTGCTAGTCTGCTTCAAACTTTTTTGGAGTAAATCTTTTTAAAAGTTTTTGTTTCACTCTAAATCTATTCAATTTCTGGCTTCTCAGTGCCATATAATGCATATAAATTGGTGCAAAACTTCTTGAATATAGCCGTAATGTACTAAGTTTACCTTCATAACCAAACTTTCTACACTGCTAGTCTACTTCTGAATTTAAAGAAGAATTTCTCAAAGTTTGCCGTTTCACTTTCTAACCACTTAGAATTAGTTCGATTTCTGTTTTTTAAAGCTCTTCCATGATTACATGAGCATAATACAAGGAATTACCATGGTTTAGTCACTTTTACTGAGTTTGAATGCGCTTTGGAAAAGTGGAAGATCGTGACAAGATTAAGAGTCCATCTACCTATAATTAACTTTGTCACTTGCATTTTGTAAAATATTTCGTGCCCTTCTTTTTGAAACAACGACAGCTTTGTCAACGAACAGACATCGTTTATGACTACAAGGTACAATCTCAAGCCATTCTGTTCGACACTTTAAGAAACGGGTCCATGGTACGATGTTGTAATGTTCTACTAAATACATGGTGAAGTAGGTGCCGCTCCAGGCAAAGAAATAAATCTAGGAAAATACGTCGAATCTATTGCTTTAATAGGCCACGAGATCGTTGATAACGCAGCGTTTCATAGTAGACAGAACTAACAAAACTGTAACGAAGAGGTTTTTTTTAGGAGCATGTTTAGTGGAAACGAATAAGACTAAACATACCGCGATTTTCAGAAACTTTAACATTAGCGTTCTCATTAGCTAGTGTTCTCATTTTCGAGAAATTTGATGGATTGCTCAGCAATGGTTTTATGAGTGTTATACTCTATAACAAATCGATAGGATACTAACAGTCATGCCATTAACGAAGTTGTTTTTGTGAGAGGACGAACAAGAACAGGATTGTCTCAGAATGGCTCAATTTTTTTAAAAAGCAGGATTGATTATTGCTATAAGTGAGATTACAAAGCTCCAGACATCGTCTGTAGATGGACATGGGAACTTTACAGGAGGATACATAAAATTTAATGATTCAGATAAAATTTGGATCCAGCTTCATGACCTTCTCACTGTTTGATAAAACAGTTACGTCCAGCAAATTTGGTAATACAAAAGTGATAGTTTTTTCTTGTCATTGCTATTAATCAAAAAGGAGCAATAGGAAGCGAAAAAGCAATTTACCTTTTCGTAATTGGGTAAAACAGTAATTCTTAAGGATTTTTTTTGGAAAATTTCAAAAGCTCTAGCGCAACGAAAGTGTTGGGAAAGGTAACGAATAATGGTAAGGCAATTTTATATTTAGAAATTTACGGCAGCTATCCACGTTATTCCTATGATCTACACAATGCAATGCAATGTATAATAATGGATAGTTTCTCTCGTTCTTTCTTTCGTTCGATGTTTCTCAAATCTTGACATTCCGGAGAGCTGTAATTTAGCTGTTTTATGCAATTGATCAAAACACTAATGTTTGGTCATCCGCCTTTTACCCTTGCAGTGCTAAAACACTGTGAAGAACTAGGATCGAACTGGTGGCCTTTAAATCTTCAGGCTAACACCCTCCCAACTGAGCTATCGAGGCTCGCATTAATATAGACCCTCTATGGAGTTACTAGTTACATATTAGGAC